CTGCAGGGGTTTTCGTGAGCAGCCCCAGAAGGAAAATAGCATATTTGTAAGAGTTCAGAAAGCAGATGTTTGGGAGATATTTCCAGGATTAAATGTCTTAGTGTTGGACTGAAGATCATATGATGCATTTATCCTTTCTTGATGAGCTGCTACTACCATTCTGCATTTCATGGTGGAAATGGAGTGACATGTGCAGTAATATATGGAGATCTGTTCAGTGGATCTTCTTAGTGTGAAGAAGGCAGGAATTTGAATGAACGACAGTTATAGAGCATGGCTAGGAGGCTGAGCTTGCATTTCTTTTGATGTTTTTCCTTCACTGTTTTGCTGCTACCTCTTAGCAGCCTGATTATAGTTAGTATTTACAAACTCTTCAGTCATTTTGGTTTCCTAATAATCTTTTATATTACCATTAATACAAAGGACGAACACTTTCAATATTATTCACTTCTGTAGAATTATGTTGTATATAGGTTTGCTATTGAGTGTTTAGTAGTATCAAGTGGTGTGCAGCCTAAAGTAACTTTGCTTAAAGCACACCAACAAAGTTAATGCATCATTTGAAGTGAATTTCCTGTCCATGAAACTCCTATACGGTGCTTATGAATTTACATTCCTCAGCTTACCATCCAAAAGTTCATTAGGTCCTCTTGCTGTATTATTTATCACTAAGAAGGTGAGTAGTTTACAAAGGGATTCATTAGTTAGTAATCATTATTTTGTTCAGATTATGATAGTGCTTTGTTGACCAAAATTATTAATCAATGTGATTTTTAACACGTGCATTGAATTATAGTTTTATGCTTAGACCAAGCTTTTTTCCCTGAGCATTTGCCTACTACCACATAACTTGAATCACAGCTAAGGAGATCAGATCCGAAGATGAAAGAATAGACAGTAAGATTAAAACATTGGAGAAGCAAAGACCAAATCAATGAACTTGAAGGTCAATTAAAAGTCCAATTCACTAATTATGACCACTGCTAAACATGTCCTACGGCGTAGCCGCGGGTATTATTTCTAGTAACCACTTAAATTAGGGAGCGGGGCAAGAGAAACAAACAAACGAGGGAAACTTTTGCGCAGACAATGAGCGAGGTGTTGGTGGCGATGCCCGCCAACGGCGGCGGCCGCGTCTGCGGGAGCGGTTCGGACCTCAACCGCCGGTTCCATGCTTCACTATCCAGATGCTCTTCTTCCTTTCGATTCCCCAGCCTACTGCCGCGGCGGAACATTGGGAGGAAGTTCGGCCACCAGTCAAGCTGCGGAGGCTGGGGCGGCTTGGCCGTGCGAGCTTCGGGGAATCCAGGGGAGTACTATCCTTCTCCCCCAGTTCCTCCGATGCAATTCGAATCTCCGGTGGGCCAGTTCCTGGGGCAGATTTTGCAGTCGCATCCGCATTTGTTGCCCGCGGCAATCGACCAGCAACTCGAGAATCTTCAGACCGATAGAGAGGCTCAGGACGGAGATGCTCCTTCTGCTGCTCAGGATCCACTCTACAAGTCAGTAGTAGTTTTCTCTTCTTGCCGTTTCTTGTTTCGTTTGTTCTTTGGGATTGGTTTGTCTGTGTTGAATTGATGAAAATAGTGACGTGGTTGTGCTGAATGCTATATAGCATTGATGTTACGCTTAGCAGAGTGGATTGGCTGAAACCCTTGTGCTTGTTTAGGATGGAGTTGAAAGTCTTTTGGTTGAACTAGAATGTGAAATGGTGCTTAGGAGAAAAGTGGAACTTCCGATTACAAGGGCCATGGGCAGTTGGAACTTCCGAATGGTGAAATTTCGATGGAAATCGATTGTTGCATACGGTTCATGTGTAGGATTCTGAGTGCAGTTCGTCGACTTCTTGAATCCAGCAATCTTATGGTCATATTTTCATTTGTTACACATCTTACGTTAGGATTGGTGACTGGAAACCAGAACTGGTTAAAGGCTTCTAGAAACCCTTAAGCTAATCTGCAATGTTTATTTATCTAAATATTAGAATTGCATTCTGCATTCTGTACCGGTTGAGTAAGCTGACTAGCCAGATGTTGATTGCCTTATAAGCCATAAAAGTCAATTGGATGTTGAAGAGCAGAGATAGGTCTTACATATAACTGCTTGCAGCTCTCCTTCTGCCAGTTGCCTGTCTTCCCCTAAAATTGCCCTTAAAATTAGATGCGTTCTTTTTTCTTTCTAACCAACTTAGGAGTTTGTATGAGTCCTGTGGTGCCTCCCTCCTTGGTAGTACCTTCAAAGTAATTGTAATACCTGTTCTTCTACCAGTTTGTGCTTCATTATCTCTAAAAATATACAATTTGCAACATATTTGGGAACTCCAATGTGCAATAATGCTGTTTTATGGAAGGGCAAGGGGTCTGGGTTTTCTGGTCTTTGTTGTTGTAGACTGTTTAAATTGCTGAAAGGAAATTAAGCTTGGCTTATTGTGCTTCCGCGCTCAATGTCCTTGCTGAGGAAAGCAATGACCGCGAAATGCCCACTCCCTAACCAAATGTCTTGTGATAAGTTTCATTCTTTTTTGGTAGTTCTGTATGGTGCAGAAACAAATGTTAATAAGAGAGTGCAGTTGCTCACCCTTATTAATATTATCGCTCTACTTGAGATTTAAACTGTTGTTGGTAAGCTTATTTATGCATCGTTTGAACATTTAGGAGAATTGCCGAGGTTCGTGAAACTGAAAGGCAGAAGGCACTAGAAGAGATCATTTACTCTCTGATTGTTCAAAAGTTTCTCGACAACGGCATCACGATGATACCGAAAATAACATCCACCTCCGATCCTGTCGGACGGGTAGACTTCTGGCCTAACCAAGAGCAGAAACTGGAGTCTGTTCACTCTGCTGAAGCCTTCGAGATGATACTAAGCCACCTGTCTCTCGTATTAGGAGATCGATCAGTGGGACCCCTTGATACCATCATCCAGATCAGCAAAATCAAACTAGGAAAGCTCTATGCAGCTTCAATAATGTACGGATACTTCCTGAGAAGAGTTGACCAGAGGTTCCAGCTTGAAAGAACCATGAACACCCTTCCCAAAGGCTACGACGAGAATCGAGCTAGATACGAGGAACTCAAATCCTCGACAAAGGGGCTGTGGGACCCAGATTCCCTAATAACTATGATGCCAGATGATGGTGGTGATGATGATGATGGAAGGTCGTACAGACTGAGGTCATATGTGATGTACTTGGATGCAGAGACCCTCCAGAGATATGCTACCATGAGATCTAAAGAGGCGGTTTCGTTGATCGAGAAGCAGACTCAAGCGCTGTTTGGTAGGCCGGACATAAGGATCTCGGAGGATGGTTCACTAGACGCGAGCAATGATGAAGTGGTCTCGGTGACCTTCTCCGGGTTGACAATGCTGGTCTTGGAAGCAGTAGCATTCGGGTCTTTCTTATGGGATGCTGAGAGCTATGTCGAATCCAAGTACCAGTTCCTGAATGGCTGAAAGTTCCCTTCTTTTTCTTCATATCTGGACTTGTTATGGTAGCTGTGTTGTAGGCTGTATAAATCAGGAATTTTGTTTCACATTGTAAACTGAGAGATGTTGTATTCTTGTTTGGGGATGAAAGAACTGATAACAGCTCTGTAGGTTGTACAAGCAGGGTCAAAGAAAAAAGGACAAGATATCATTGCTTCCAGTTGTTTGCATTATTAATTCATCTACATTTCAATGTAGCCAGTGACTTGTGTTATCTATCATTCTATCTAAGCTCCATTGTAGTTCTGATGTGGCAATTACGTCATGATCGACAATTTCAATTACCATAGGACAATGGCCTTGAAAGCATGGTCTATGAAACTGTATCGTACCGGCGGTTCTACCACAAAATACCAGTATCGGAAGCTAAGCCGGTAGGCGGTATTTAACGGTATTAACGGTTGAACTACGGTTAAACCACGATTTTGCCATAAAATACCTTACCGCTAACTTTTCCGTTACGGTGTCCGGTAAATATTGCATACCGGTTTTGCTTCTGCTAGAAGGTTTTTCAGCGCGAACTGCCGGTAAGGTATTTTAATTCTTGAGAAAAATGCTTTTCTTCCAATTGGGCCTCACGAGGAGTTGGACCCATTATCACAAATATCCATCCGCGGGACAAAGAAAGAGCGGGTGAAGAGGAAAATCAAAGAAGAAAACTTCCCTTTGCTCCAATCCCTGTGCTCAACCACCGCGGAAAGCTTCCGTGCCCATATTTCCAAATTAGCGGTGTATTTCTCCGGCCGACTGTCTCCTGCACCATTAATTTGAAGCCACCGACGGGAATCAGCGCTATTTCCGACCGAAGTCCGGCTATATTCTGATAAGTTCCGAAACTCACTCAATTCTATTGATCTGTTGTCGTAGAACGATAATGCCCGCCGCTCCTGCCACCTCAGAACTTATGTGTGAAACATCCATGAAGCAGGAGGTCTGTTTACATTGCAAGCTGAGAGCTTTCGTATTCTTGTTTGGGGAAGAGCGAACTTTTGTGGATCACAGCTTATATATCATAAATTTTGTTGGAGGTTGAAACTTCGAAGCGGTTGCAGAAGAAGAAGAGGAAGCATAGAGAAAGGTACACACATGACACAACTAGGCCTATTGTTTAGTTAATTAGAATGCCAAGGGCGGAGCTGGACGCCTCTGGTCAGTGTCTTGTTTGCCTTCTTACCTAACATTACTGACGGGTCTAATTCAATCATATATATATAGACAACACAATAGATGATGAGATTGCTGAATACCTTATTCATCTTGGATCGAGTTGCATGATTGAATCGCATCAACTTGAGCATTGTTTACTGTATTTTCCCACTTTGCCAAGTGGTATATCTTCATTCTCCACCACCATGTTCACATTTTGAGTCAACGTCTTTTAGATAATACAATAATATACGTGGTTTGAATAATACAACCCTTGTTCTTCCTTTCCTCTACAGCAAATTATATGTATCCCCTTTCTTGCATCTTCTTCCTTTCTTTGCCTTTGAACCCTTTTCTCTGTTCTAAATATGGCATTTGCAGTTGCAGAGACAATCCTCAAGAAGTTGGCCCCACTAGTTGTTGAACAAGCAGGCCTTCTCTGGGGACTCAAGAGCGAGGTTTTGAAACTGAAGAGCACGGTTACTTCTATTCACGCCGTGTTATTGGATGCGGAGGAGCAATCCGGTGTTAATCATCAAGTTCAAGTTTGGCTCGATGAACTGAAGCAAGTCCTTTACGATGCTGATGACTTGTTGGATGATTTCAATACCGAGACTCTATTGAAGCAGCAACGCATGGATCTTCATGGCAATCTTTGTAAGAACGAGGTATGCATCTTCTTTTCCAGTTATAACCCATTGCTCAACGGTCTCTTGATGGCTTATCGAATTAAGGCCATAAGGATCAAGCTGGATGAGACTGATGAGAATCGAAAGAGGTTCAACTTTCAAATGCGACTGGAGGAGCCTGCTGCTGCTACGAGTAAGCTTGGCAGGCAGACTGACTCCTTTGTCCCCAATGTGTTTGTTGGGAGAGAAGAAGATAGTGAGAAGATAATAAGTTTGTTGTTATCGTCTAGTAATGAGCAGAAGGTTGAAGTCATCCCTATTCTTGGAATAGGGGGTTTGGGAAAAACGGCGTTGGCACAATGCGTTTATAATGTTAAGGGTGTGACTTCTCATTTTCAACTGAAAATTTGGGTATGTGTTTCGGATGATTTCAATGAGACAACGCTGGTAAAAAATATTTTGGAGTCTTTAACCGGAGGCAAAGTGGAAGATCTTCAGCTGCAAACTTTGAAGAGTAATTTGAAGAAACAAATGGACAACAAGAGGTTCTTGTTGGTGTTAGATGATGTGTGGGATAATGGTGATTACGAAAGCAATTGGGACAGGTTGATGAGTTTCTTGTGCAATGTTGGCACAGTAGGGAGTAAAATTATCATCACTACTCGAATTGGAAGTGTTGCAAGTTTGATGGCGACAAAAGGTCTCAAACCACATGAGTTAAAAGGTTTATCCAAACAAGATTCATGGTCGTTGTTTGAACAAATAACATTTAAGGGGGAAGTACTTGAAGGTGGTGAAAGGTTTAAGCGGATGGGAGAAGAGATTGTGGGTAGATGTGTGGGGGTTCCTTTGGCCATAAGGGCAATGGCTGGCGTCCTGGCGTCAAAGAGAGATTTAGTTGATTGGGAGGCTTTAAGAGACAAGCAAGCACGGTTAGATGGGGTTGGTAGCGATAAAAGGATTTCGGCAACTCTTAGGTTGAGTTACGACAACCTTCCTTCTTATTTGAAACCATGTTTTGCTTATTGTAGTTTGTTCCCAAAGGATTATGAGATTACCGTGAGAACTTTGGTACAACTCTGGATGGGGCAAGGGTATATCGATTGTAGCCAATCACCATCGTCAAATTTGTATGACACTGGAGTCGAATATTTCAAGAGCATGTTATCTAAGTCCTTTTTCCAAGAGACATCCGTAGATAACTTGGGGGATCTGGTTGTGTGTAAAATGCACGATTTGATTCACGATCTAGCTTTGGAAGTTGCAGGGAAGGAGAACTTCACTTTGAAGGCTTCAACTTCAATGGTTTATGATGATGTCAACTTTGATAGGCTTCTCCACTTGTCATTCGATTTTGAGGAAATACAAAGAGTGTCATTGCAAGTTCCAGATTCGTTACTTAAACAGACAAAGCTGAGAACTTTTCTTCCTACAAATTTGCATTGGCAGGGTATGAGTACACAAGGAGGAACCCAATATGAGTCAATCTTCTCAAATATGACTAGTTTGAGAGTTCTAAGTTTTTGTAATGCTGGGATGAAAATTGTCCCTCCCTCCATCCATTACCTGAAACGTCTCAGGTTTCTAGATCTTTCTTATAACAATGGAATGGAGATGTTACCTAATGAGATCACAAGACTGGTAAACTTGCAGGTGCTCATCTTAGATTTTTGTGAAGAGCTTCGGGAATTACCAAACGACATTGTGAAATTGTCATATCTTGAGTGTCTTAGCCTTATTGGCTGTGACGCTTTGAGACACTTACCATCTGGGATCAAGAAACTCACTCGCCTGAAAGAATTGTCCTCGTTCATTTTAGCACTCTCAGAATCAGGAGCTGCCGCTGCCACTGCGAAAATTAGTGAGTTGAAGGATCTCAATCTAAGCGGGAGTTTGGCAATTACGAATCTGCAATCGGTGGAGAAAGATGAAGCGGAGGCAGCAAGTTTGAAAAGGAAGCAAAATCTTCGAGCCTTGGAATTGACGTGGTACAGTGGTCAAAATGCTAATGCTGCTGGGAATCTGAGGACACTAGAGGCGTTGGAACCACATGAAAATTTGAAGGAGCTGATGTTAATAGATTACGGCGGGGGGAAACTACCCACATGGTTTTCTAATTCTCTCAAGAATGTGGTGATAATCCGTCTATTCGGTTGTGATGGACTGCGATATCTTCCATCACTGGGTCCACTGGTTTTCCTTGAAGAATTGATGTTTTATCGTCTAGGCAACTTACAGTACATACAGCACGAGGAGGCCGCACCAGCACCATCATCCTCTACCCAATATCTTCCCCGCCTCAAGTCTCTCACCATAGGGAGTTGCAGCAACCTAATGAGCTGGTGGTCGACCAAAAAGATAAAGATGCCCCTATTCCCTTGTCTTTGCTCTCTTCAAATTTCTTTCAGCAACAAGCTGGTATCCATTCCTCGGCTCTCGGTGCACGTCGAAAAGGTTGAGTTTTGGAGTGTAAAGAGTGAGCTGTTGGGTGGGTTTGCTACGTCACTTCCTCCACCCCATTCCCCAACACAATCCCAATTCAAATCACTTCAAATTGGTACCGTGGAAGATCAACGAGTTTTGGTGCCAGAGTTACTGCTACAGCTTGTTTCGCTTGAATACCTACGTATAGAACAATGCTCAAACTTAACGACTCTGTCTCCGCCAACTAATATTCCTAGTCAACAACATCTCATTTCCCTTCAGAGTGTTCCTAGCAGCATGGTTCCACTGTATGTACTTCCAGCCTTGCTTCGCTTTAAAATCAAGTCCCTCCCAATGTTGGAGTGCCTACCAGAGTGGCTTCAGCATTCCTCTAAGTTGCGGCTTCTGAAGATAACTGAATGTGAGGGTCTCAAGTGTTTACCAGAGTGGCTCTTCAAGCTGACGGCATTGGAGAGTTTATATGTGAAATCCTGTGCTGGTTTATCATCGAGATTGGAAAGCAGGATGGCTGAGGACTGGCCTAAAGTTGCTCACATTCCAAATATCAAAATCAATGGTAAAATGGTTCAACGGAATGGTCATTATTTGGAAGCAGAAGAAGTAGCAGAAGAAGATCAATACAAAGAACAAGAAGCGGAGGGAGAAGATGAAGATGAAGAACTACCCACTGGCACCCAGTTTTCAAGGTATATCCTTGAGTTTCTTCTGCTCAACGCTATACATGTAGGCCGGATTGGCACACACACAGACACACACACAATTATCTTTTTGTCTACATAATTGAGACATGTTCTTTCCCCACTGTTGAGGGAATTTCTTCCGTATATGTTGTGAACATGTGCCTAGTATAAAAGCGCTCTCCTAGATTAGTGACTAATTTTGATGTTGTGTTGCAGGATGTTGTCAAATTGCATAGCAAGGCTGACTTGCAACCTTTTCCACAGATGCTTTCTCTGCTAACTACCTTCTGCATGCATATTTCCCTAGATGGTTAACTATTAGGTGAGTTTTTGAAGATTAAATATCTCGTGCCTAGACTGAGTAACACTAGCTTCTTGCCATTTAAACTTTATCATTTACGGATTGAGCTTGAGGAGGATTCGTGTTCTTAGATGCAGTTGAATTAATTATTAGAAACTGGGTGCTGCTGCACTCCATTTTCCCTGGCCGTGGAAAGGCCTTTTTTTCCTTCCAGCTTAGTTAGCTATGCTGCTGGGGGTGACTAGTTAATTTCTCCCTTACTGCAGTAATGAAAGGTGCAAGAGACTACAATTTACTTCTGTGTTTGCAAGCTGCAATGCGAAGGGTGTGTGTGCCTATGGACAGTGGCATGGTGGTGACTTGTCTAGCCTGCTCAAGTATCTGCCTATTAATTATATCTTGAACTTGATAGTTCTAGTATCATTATTCCAATAACATTATATTCTGCTGTTGATTGTTATTTCTAGATTTCAGTTTTGATGATAAAGCATTGCTGAGCAAGGTGAAGCAATAGTCAGTGACTGTCTCTGTGTTGATATAGGTGATTGCCATTGAGTGCCATCTAGTGCGCCACTATCTCTTGTCCGATGTGCTCTGTGACTTGCTCTTAATAAGAAACGTTCTGAATGTGGAGTGGTGTTGCTCATCTCGTTCTTGTATCATTGATTTGTGGTTATGGTGGAGCTTTAATTTCTTCCTCTTTATCTTTGGGTCTATATCGGTTTTTTTCCCCGTTGAATCGGTTTCCACTTTCATATTAAAGCCAAACAGATACAACGAAAGTGGGCAAAGCCCACGCGAGAACAGGAGAACATCCCTCTCCCATTCTCAAAAAAGCAAACAACCCTGAACAGGTCTATATCGTTTAAGTAATTAAGTGTAGGATTCTGAACATATATTATCATAAGTTTAAAGAAAGCATCAATCTCGTGGTGACTTTTGTCTGAGCAGACCTAAGGTTAGGATCGGATGACCGGAAACCAGAACTGGCTAATGGCTTCAGAAAAACCTTCAGTTAATCTGCAAAATTGAAAGTCCTGCTGCATTATACACTGATTGAGTAATCTGCAAAGCCGGGTGTTGAATTCCAGATAAGATATAAAGTGAGTTAGATCTTGATCAAGTGCATAGCTAGGTCTTCCGATATAACTACTCAGACAGATAACTGTTTATTCTTCTGCATAATCTCCCTAATTACCTGACACTAGAAACTCACTCCCTAACCAAATGTTTTGTGATAAGTTTCATACTCGTTGCTTCATGTCCTCTCATGTAATTAGTCTTTGTGTGTGCACCATTTGGAACTACCAATTATAGTTATATCTCCACACACAAGATGCACACTCTGGTTCACCCTTATAATGATTCTACTTGAGTTTTGAACTATTTTTGGTGATGCCTCCTTGAACATTTAGGGGACCCTTCAGCTGGACATAAGGATCGGAGAATGGTTTGCTAGACGCAATCAAGCTGTTTCGGTGACCTACTCTGGGTTGACAATGCTGGTTTTGGAAGCTGTAGCCGTCAGGTCCTTCCTATGGAATGCCGAGCGAGTACCAGTTCTTGAATGAATGAAAGGTATATTTCCCCCCTCTCTTTGAACTTTTTGTTATGGTAGCTGTGTAAGAAGTAAAAGAGAAAGGGTCCTTAGTATGTTTGCATTAGTTCTCGCCTACAGAACATCCAGATCCAGTAACAATTGTTGCTCTCCGGATTCCAGATCAAGCTGTCCTTCTGCTTCCCCTGAAGCCTTCATTTTGGAAACGAAGGCAGCTGTAGCTAGCTCTGATTTAATTTGTACGAGATATTAGCTTTATCATTCTTGCATTTTACATTGGCTTTGGAGGAATCCTTCATGGACAACTGTTCAGTCAAGTCAAGTCAATGGCTAGGTAGGTCATTGTTTAGTTGTAAAAATGGGCAGTTGAGCAACGGGAACTGGGCTGGTCAGTACTATGTTGTCTCCTGAGTCTTTGCATAAAATAATGTCACGATCCACCGCCTTAATTAGCGGATCCAATTCAGTACTTTCGACACACAAAACTGAACAAGTTGATCAATCTGGTGAATATCTTATTCGTTTAAGATCAAGCTGAATTGAACTGTCACATGGCATTGCATCAACTTGAGCATTGTTTTGGGCAAGTCAATGCATGGGCATTAGCACGTTAACTGGCCAACTATTGCATCTCTATTTTTTGTCTGCCACCATATGTTCACATTCTGAGCCAACTTCTTAGACATATCTCCCTGATCATTCCGAGTAATTTACGATATATATACATGTGATCTGACCATACAGCTTCCTTGCGCTTCCTTTAATTTCCTCCATAGCAAATTACCCAATCTCCTTTGCCTCTGAACCCTTTTCCCTCTTCCAAAAATGGCATTCGCAGTTGCTGAGACAGTCCTCAAGAAGTTGGGTCCCCTAGCTGTTGAACAAGCAGGTCTCCTCTGGGGTCTCAGCAGCGAGGTCTTGAAACTGAAGAGTACGGTTACTTCCATCCGAGCCGTGCTGTTGGATGCAGAGGAGCAATCTGGTCTAAACAATCAAATCCAAGTTTGGCTCCAAGAACTCAAACAAGTCCTTTATGATGCTGACGACTTGTTGGACGATTTCAACACTGAGGCGCTGTTGAGGCAGCAGCATGACAAAGTCGACATAAACGAGAAGGTAACATCTCTTCTTATTTTTGTGTCTCTCTATCAAGCCCGCTGCACACTTAATCACAGACTATATAGTATTCTTCTAGATAGCCACACTCACGCATAACCATTTAAGATTTGAGAAGGATAGCTTAAAACTTTTGATATGTTTTGGACAGTGTATAAATCCCCTACCACAGGCCTTGACTTATTGGTCGGGGTTATTCATTTCCAAGATGGATGATCTTGGTTGTGATTGTGGATCGTGCCCAGGGTTGACCCTTTATAAAATAAATTTGTTAGCTATATAACGGGTATATGGTATGGTGCATAGCTAGTTATCCATTTGTGTATATATAGATTTGATTCTTTGTTTTTTAGTGGGGTTAGATCGCGAGATAAAAAAGATTTTTTTTCCCCATTTTTTTTAATCACCATACGTTTTAATATGAATTTTGAAATATTTTGCATAGATAGAATGAGTTTATTATGGTCTACAAAATCATATTAATTTTTATTTATATTTCAAGTAAATTTCCCCCCTAATAAGTGGTAAAAAGTTTCCTACCACTTTTTTCACAAATACAACTATTATGTACGATATATTCATATACCATTATCGTATAATCTTATGTACGGTTACTAAGTATAACATATGACCACAATTATATAGATTGATAATATATGTCCCAATTCTTTTTGTTCCAAAACATATCAAAGTAAATGTCGTTTTGAAAAACACGATTAATCTAATTTTATGGGCAGTTTTTTTTTTATTAATTTTGACTCCAAACAAAGGAGTTATAACCCATTAAATATAATTGAAGAAAAAGTTATGCATTGGTTGTAGCCAAATTGGTTACTAATTAGGGGTAGGAGTGGACAACGATGAGGTTCACACCAGATCAAATCGTACTAAATTGATATTTGGACCGAATCGAATCAGATCAATATATTACAATTCGGTTTTGGTCCTATGAATTATTTTAAGTATTCGAAAGAAATAGATCGAAATTGAATTTGGAACAGACTGGATCTAACCAAATGAACCAAGTATACTTTTTGTCAGATTCCGGTCCTCATTTTTCCTTTGCTTTTGGTTCGGTCCTAAGTCAATTTGATATGGTCCTAGATTGGACCACACAGAACCAAACCGACATCTTGACCGGATCACACCAAACCGAATATAATGTTGTCCGGTCTTTGATCCACATGAATTTCATAAATACAGAAAATGATAAATTGAATTGATATTTGAACCCGATTGAATGTAATAATAATCGTTTTCTTGATCCTAAACTTTCTCTTATTATTGAATCGCTGCCCTCATGGTTTGGTTTATTTCGATCTGGAGCGAGCCGTTGCACACCACTTTTACTGACTAACCCTATCCGCACTCCTTACGCAATGCTTTGAGAATTCTTAACCTATAAGCTATAGCCCTTCGTATCAATGGATTAAATTGATTTTCAAGAACCTTCATTATATGGCCATGAAATCGTATCGGATATCGTACCGGAAAAGTCAGCGATATGATATTTTATGATAAAATCGTAGTTTAACCGTTAAATCATTAAATACTGCCTACCGATTTAGCCTCCGATACTAGTATTTCGTAGTTGAACCGCCGATATGGTATGATTTCATGAACCATACCCTTCAACCGATAGGTATTTGATTAATCACAATTTTCTAGTTATTGGCTTCATCTAGGTATTATAATTATATAATCTTAACATTGTTAAAGGGATTTTAGATTTGAGCCCCTTACACGTAGGCCTTAAATGATTTTTGTGCATCCATGTAAGCGAACATACAAGCAGTTGTCTAAGTTTTCTCTTCTAAAAAGTGCATCCTTTTGTTTTTTAGGAATTTTACAATCCTATATAAAATTGGTATTATAGATTTTTGCCTTAATGGTACAATTTGAAGTTGTACATTTAATATTATGGTACAATTTCAAATTGTACTTAGTCTTTTTTACAAATTATTTTATGGTACAATTTGAACTTGTACTTTTATGTGAGGGTACAACTTTAAGTTGTAAAGTTGTACCATAACATAAGGGTACCAATTCCTTTATGGTACAACCTGAACTCATATATTTAACGTTATCGTACAACTTTAAGTTGTACATTAAAGCAACAATGTTTTATAGCATAGTAGAAGTGCTCATGTTTTTTAGTCTTTTCACAATTTTTCTTAAAAAATAAAAACTCAAATCAGGCCAAGAATCTTTATAAATCGGGATTATTATTTTTTTTTAAAGTATGACGTTGTCTTTAACCTTACTTTTTTTACAAAATAATGGTTATAATTGAAAAAAATTAGAAAATTATTTTTTTATGAATAAGGAGATTATATTTCATAAAAAATACGATCTGTACAACTCAATACAAAGAACAAACCAAAACACAGACACTTGCTATCAACTAACACTCTGTTTATAACTGCTACCACTACTAATAAGATTGCATATTTTGGAACCAAAAAGGTCTAGTTTTAACACTAATTTCAAGCTGACTATTACCATCCATCATGTATTTCAACGTCATCGAAATTGTCAAGGCTGGGATATCTTGTATCTTCTTTCCATAGAGTCTTCTGCATCGCTCTCTCCATCCTTCACTCAAACCTGATGCATGATTCTTCAGTCTCAGCACAGCCTCCTGAAAAAATACTTTACTTGATATAACATGATCTTTTTTTTCTCGTTGAATCAATCCAACAAGATTCGTTTCGATTTTTGTTTATGAATTAATTTTATAGAACTTCCTATATTAAAAAATATGTTACTTGTCGAACATTTACTTATTATTTTTAAAAATATTTCTCGAAAAAAATTGATTTCCTAAAAGCTAAAGCAGGGCCAAACCAACCCCATATATGTTTGGACAAATATAGCTTTTAGGGAGAGAGTTTACATTTGAGATGGTCTTAGAGTTCTAGGCACTTAACATTTGTCAATTCACTTTTGGAGGATATTTTAGAAATTGGAATCAGTGTGGTAAAGGGTCCATACCACTATTTTATTTATTTATTTATACATAAAGGGCCATACTATTTTCATTTCTTTACCTTTACTTTTCTTTTATGCCTCTCAAAGAAAAACTATATTAACTCATGTCGTGTCCATGCAAAAGAAAAGTAAAAACTCTCACGATCCTTGTTATCCCCAAGTCAAATTGCCAATTAGATCATTGGAGTTTTAATGCCAAATTGAAGGATAACACATATGGAATTTACTTATATGTGACATCAAATTATAGATTATTTTCAAATCAATCCAACAGGTACACCTCTTCTTCTCCGCTTCCAACCATTTGCTCAATGGTCTCTTGATGGCTCATCGAATTAAGGCCATCAGAAGCAAGCTAGATGAGATTGATGAGAACCGAAAGAAGTTCAACCTTCAAACGCGACTTGAGGAGGATTCTGCTGCTGCTATGAGCAAGAAGAGGAGCCAGACAGATTCCTTCGTCCCTAATGTATTTGTTGGGAGAAAAGAAGACAGTGAGAAGATAATAAGCTTGTTGTTGTCGACCAACGATGAGCAGAAAGTTGAAGTGATACCTATTCTTGGAATGGGAGGTCTGGGGAAAACTGCGTTGGCTCAATATATTTACAATGATAAGATCGTGAGCTCTTATTTTCAACTGACAAGTTGGATCTGTGTTTCAGACAATTTTAGTGAAACAGTGCTGGTCAAAAAGATTCTAGAATCTTTGTCTGAAGAAAAAGTGGCGGATCTTCAGTTGCAGAGTTTGAAGAGTAAACTTAAGACAAAAATGGAGAACAAAAAGTTTTTGGTTGTCTTGGATGATGTGTGGGACAATGGTGATTACATGACCAATTGGGAGAGGTTGATGAGTTTTTTCTGCAATGTTGGGGCAGTAGGAAGTAAAATTATGGTAACTACTCGAATTGGAAGCGTTGCGAATTTCATGGCGACGAAAGGGATCGAAAGACACGAGATAAAAGGTTTATCCAAGCAAGAGTCATGGTCTTTGTTTGAACGAATAGCATTTAAGGGGAAAGCAGTTGAAGGAGATGAAAGGTTTGAGCGAGCAGGAAAAGAGATCGTTGGAAGATGTGTGGGAGTTCCTTTGGCTATAAGGGCGATGGCCGGTGTCTTGTCGTCCAAGAGAAATGTGGTTGATTGGGAGGCTTTAAAAGACAAGCAAGCACGACTGGATTCGATGGACAGTGATAAAAGGATTTTGGCAACTCTTAGGCTGAGTTACGACCATCTTCCTTCCTATTTGAAACCCTGTTTTGCTTACTGCAGCTTGTTTCCAAAAGATTACGAGATTGAGGTGAAAACGCTGGTACAACTGTGGATGAGCCAAGGCTATATTAATTGTGTTCAATCATCATCATCATCATCATCATCATCATCATCAGATCTATTTGAAGTTGGAGTCGGATATTTTAAGAGCATGCTGTCAAGGTCCTTTTTTCAAGAGCCGCATGAAGATCATTCCGGGAATGTGAGGTGGTGTAAAGTCCATGATTTGATGCACGATCTAGCTTTGGAAGTTGCAGGGAAGGAGAGTGTCACTTTAAGGGCCTCAAACCCAGTGGTTGACGATGGCATCAACTTTGATGGGCTTCGACACATATCATTCGATTTTGAGGGAAGAAGATCCAGAAAGCCATGGCAAGTTCCACATCTGTTGCCTAGAGCAACAAAACTGCGAACGCTCCTTCCTGCAAATATGAATTCGTGGGGTATGAATGCCAACGGAGGAGAGGAGTACGAGACAATCTTCTCCAATATGCCCAGCTTAAGAGCTTTAAGCCTTCGCGGTGCTCTAATGAAGAGCGTCCCACCCTCCATTCATAAGCTGAAACGTCTCAGGTATCTTAATCTTTCTCGTAACGCAATGCAGATGCTACCCGAAGGGATCACAAAACTGGTGAACCTGCAAGTGCTCGTATTAGATTTCTGTGAAGAGCTTCGGCAACTACCAAGAGACATTGTGAACTTATCCAATCTCGAGTTTCTTAGCCTTATCGAGTGTGTCAGGTTGACAGGCTTACCACCTGGGATTGGGCAACTCACTCTACTGAAAGAACTGTCCAGTTTTGAAGTTACAAATGCATTCCACTCTTCCGGAGCAGCCACTTCCAGAGTCAGCGAGTTGAAGCATCTCAACGGCCTGGGCGGGAAGTTGAAAATTTCAAATCTTGAACTGGTGAAAGATGAAGCTGAAGCGCAAGCAGCGAGTTTGAACACGAAGCAACATCTGCGAACCTTGGAATTGTGCTGGAACATAATTCGACCGGCGGATGATGCTGCTGAGGACGGGAGGACATTGGAGGCGTTGGAGCCGAATGAGAATTTGAAGGAGCTGAAGTTGTGGGGTTATGCCGGGAGTAGTCTATCCACCTGGTTTTTCAATTCTCTCAAGAATGTGGTGATTATCAGTCTGACTTATTGTGATGAACTTCGGTATCTTCCGTCCCTGGATCCACTGGTTTCTCTTGAAGAATTGACGTTGTATAAACTGTACAGCTTGGAGTACATACAGATTGAGGAGCCGACGCCACCGTCGGCATCAGCACCAGCACCATCTTCTTCTAAGAATGGTGTGCAACTTCTCCCCAGCCTCAAGTCTCTCACCATTTGGGAATGCGCCAACCTAATCAGCTGGGCGTCGTCCTCAAAGATAGAGATGCCGCTGTTCCCTCGTCTCTCTGTTCTAGACATCAGCAAGTGCCCAAAACTGGAATCGGTTCCTCGGTTCTCAGTGCACGTGGAAAAAGTTAGGCTAAACGGCATGGAGAGTGAACTGTTGGGTGAGTTTGCTGCCTCCTCCATTCCTCCACCCCATTCCCCAACACACTCCCGATTTAGAGAACTAACAATTCATCGCATCTATGGTCTACGAGTTCTGCCACAAGAGCTACTGCCACAGCTTGTTTCGCTTGAATCCCTGGACATAGAGAGTTGCCCGAACCTGTCGACTCTATCTTCACCAGCAGCTACGCCGCTACAGTTTGCCCTTCCGGTCCTCCGTCGCTTCAATATCTCCAAGCTTTCGGGCTTGGACTGTCTACCGGAGTGGCTTCAGCATTCCTCTAAGTTGCAGGAGCTGGTGATATGGTCCTGTGGCGGTCTCAAGAGTTTACCTGAGTGGTTCCCGAAGCTCGCCGCGTTAGAGACTTTGATAGTAAACGACTCCGAGCTTCTATCACCGAGGCTGGAAAGCAGCACGGCCGAGGACTGGCACAAAGTCGCTCACGTTTCGAAAATTGTTGTCAGTTACAAAATGGTTCAACGAAATGGCAAGTACTTGGTAGCAGAAGCAGGGGACCAACACCAAGAACTAGAAGCAGAGGCAGAAGATGATGAACAACTACTCACATCCACCCAGTCCTCAAGGTACATTCTTTTGCTTAACTATTATAGAAAAGCTAAGCTATATTTGACGGTAGGATTGGCCTTTGTGAACAGAACAGCCTCCATTGGACACCTATTGTGGTACAATATTGAGCTGATAATAGCTTATAGCATACCGGTGTCATTTTCTCTACATTGTTTAGACATTATGAACATTTCTTCGGTATAGAAGTGCTCCTAACATAACATTGACTACTAATGTTGATGTTTGCATTGCAGGATGTTGTCAAATTCCATAATAGCAAGGCTGACTTGCAACCTTTTCCAGAGATGCTTTCTCTGCTAGCTCGCTTATGGCATTCCTCCACCTTTCCCTGAGACGCTCTTAAGAATTCTGATCGAAGTGGACATGCCGCATTCATTCATCACCTGCATTTTTTTTATATAAGGTTTGCATTTCTCCTGCATTCATCTTGGTCCTAGCTAGCTTGCTAGCCATCAACTTTTGTTTATGTTCTTTTGAAAGTAGAAACCCCTTTTGTCTGGGTGTCTTCATGCATGCAAAACAGAGCAGCTCTTTGTGAGAATGGAGTGCAACAAGCCTATCTTACTATCTTCCAAAGATTGAATCGTTTTTTGTTATCCCGTGACACACCCTCTCACGCCTAATCAATAGCTTGCCATTTTCAACTCAAATAGTTAAGTACTGAACTGGAAAGATGGATGGATGGATGGATGGATGGATGGATGTGTGTTCTTAGTTGCAGTTGAATTAATTATTCCGTATTTTTGTACTCATTCATATAGGTGCAAAACAGAACCCGACCCGATTAACCCACCCGATTAACCTGACCCACAACCCGACCGCAACTCGAATTGACTAAAAATCAACAACCCGCAACCTGCCTGACTCGCAACCCGACTGACCCGTAACCCGATTAACCCACAACCGGATTAAACCCGAACCTGATTAACCCGAACCCGATTGATATGAACCCGACTCAACCCGTAACCCGACCGACTCAACCCGAACTTCACCTAATCCACTTGAATGATTATTATATTATACAATGCATAGTTTTTTAAAATAAAGTTTTTCATTCTAAACTTAGTTAAAATTTATTTTTCATTTCGTATAAGGGATTTAAAAAAATATGAAACATTAACGTCACTTGAACACTAAGTTCTTTAACTAAATTAAAAAAGTAAATATGAAATATAAAATCAACACAATGTCAATATTAATAATGAATAATTAATAATTGAGATCATGGACAATGAGAGAGAGGTTTGGATGAGAACTTTGGAATGAAAAATTTATGGGCGGATGAATATGAGCCAACAATTATACTAAACTTGATAAGTAATTTTTGATGATTTTTTGTTTATGGTATAAAGTATATGGTTAGGGATTTAGGGCTGCAAATGAGCCGAGCCAAGTCAAATTTTTTAATAGCTCAACTCGAACTCGAATCCAAAATGACAAGCTCGAACTCAGCTCGAATTTGAGACAAGCTGGTAACAGCCAAGCTCGAGCTCAGCTCGACCTCAATATAACCCAGCTTTTCCACAGATGCTTTCTCTGCTAACTACCTTCTGCATGCATATTTCCCTAGATGGTTAACTATTAGGTGAGTTTTTGAAGATTAAATATCTGGTGCCTAGACTGAGTACCACTAGCTTCTTGCCATTAAAGCTTTATCATTTACGGATGAACTTAAGGTGGATTCGTGTTCTTAGATGCAGTTGAATTGGTTATAAGAAGACAACAGGAGGTACTGGGTGCTGCTGCACTCCATTTTCCCTGGCCGTGAAAAGGCCTTTTTTCCTTCCAGCTTAGATAGCTATGCTGCTGTCCAAGAAGAAGTCTGCAGCTTTTCTGTAAGAACCAACTTCTCCCTTGTTGGGGGTGACTAGTTAATTTCTCCCTTACTGCAGTAATGAAAGGTGCAAGAGACCACAATTTACTTCTGTGTTTGCAAGCTGCAATGCGGAGGGTGTGTGTGCCTATTGACAGTGGCATGCTGGTGACTTGTCTAGCCTGGTCAAGTATCTGCCTATTAAATATATCTTGAACTTGATAGTTCTAGTATCATTATTCCAATAACATTGTATTCTGCTGTTGGTTGTTATTTCAAGAGTTGCGTTTGGATGTTAAAGCATTGCCATTGTGATAGAAACCTATTTCTAGGGTTCTATCGATTGGATTGAGAAATTGGGAATTGATAGGAATTAGGGATTTAGAAGAGAATTTGAGGAAGAAGATAGAGGATTGGCCTAGGCCTTTAGAGGGATTGAGAACGAGAACTGAGAGGATAGGGAGATTAGGGTTTGGAAGGCTTTTCTTAATATTCTTCTTATTGATTGAATAGACGAATAACAACGTGCATATATAGGAAAAGAACCAGAAAACCCTAACAAATAACCTAATACGATTAAAAGACTAATTACCCTAATATAATAATAAATATAGAAACCGAACTAAAGTTGGTTTCTATCATCCCCTCCCCCTTGAGACCAACCTTGCCCTCAAGGTTGACAAATAAAATAATGCTACTAATCCTATCGATATATGGAGCCCAAAGGAGTATGATAGTTAGGCCCGTCTTTGTCTCTATAACACGAGCGGCCGATGAACCCGCTCCCGTCATCGTGGCTGAATCGTCGTGAAGCTGTCTTGATTGACGGAGGGTGGCGATCGTCGGAGTGCCTTGGCGGAGGCCAGTACCCGTCATCATCAAACTCCCGTTCATCTTTATATGAATCGTTCCAGCTCTGTTCCACGCGATACACCTGTCCTGGCTTTAAAAATGCCGTCGCGCGGCCATGGTAGACACGATAATTAGCCTGTTTGGTTCGCCCTGTTGAATAGTGATCCGACTCATGTCGGTCCATTGGGTCGAACCATTGTTGGTTCGAGTTTGGCTCACCTCGCTGGACTGGTCTGGCCGACTTTGGTTGTGCAGATTCGGTCAAGGGGATTGAGCCACCACCGATTGAACCATATGGCTTCTCAAGTGGCCCATTCAATTTGCATGGCAAATCAACCGAACTCGGCCCAGGATTGTGCGCCTTGTAGTTCTGTACCAACTTCAAACGCCCTACATCACGCTGCCCAGTGTTGAAGTCGGCTGAGAAACCCTGACCTGTGAACTTCCTTTGCCGCGCAGTGTAGGAGTCGGTGCTTCCTTGATCATCGGAGTTGCCGCCGACGTCGGGGATGGTGTGATTTCTCAAGAGGTGGCCGACTAAGGGGAAACCGACACCAAGTGGTTGTCCGCCAAGCTGCGTAGTAGTCAAGTTTGCTGGCGGAGTGGCGGAGTCATCCGCGAAGGCATTCTTTAGCGTCTCTTTGTCCGGTGGTGGTGGGGGAATCTCGATCAGCTTAGCTGATGGGGTCATCGGCACTTCCTTTGCTGTGGTAGTCAAAGCGGGAAGCCGTTCGAGTGCTTCAACCCGCTGTTCAAGGGCTTGATGCTTGGCAGCGGTGGATTGTGCAAGATCAGCAATCAACACGCGAAGTTCTGCAAATTGTTGACTGATGGCTTTAGTGAGGGTGTCCTCAATTGACGCCATTGCGGCTGGAAGGGCCTCAAAGGTATTGGTGGCCATTAGGCGACGAACGGTCGTTGCGGTGGACTTCGAAAGCTTGCTGCGGAGATGAGGTCGCCTTGTGGAAGGCCTTTGTTTATGATAAACAATTCCCTACCCAGAACCCTCTGCTAGCGCACAAAAATAAGGAATAATAATTCCTTTTCCTTGTGTACAGTTATCCCTTTGTGGAGCGTGGGATTGTTGTGTTCTAGGTTTGGGAGTTGGACCAGTGAGTGGTGGATGGAGGGTAGTGCGGGTGGATTGTGATGTAGCGGAAAGGTGAATAACGGGGCTCTGATACCAGATGATAGAAACCTATTTCTAGGGTTCTATCGATTGGATTGAGAAATTGGGAATTGATAGGAATTAGGGATTTAGAAGAGAATTTGAGGAAGAAGATAGAGGATTGGCCTAGGCCTTTAGAGGGATTGAGAACGAGAACTGAGAGGATAGGGAGATTAGGGTTTGGAAGGCTTTTCTTAATATTCTTCTTATTGATTGAATAGACGAATAACAACGTGCATATATAGGAAAAGAACCAGAAAACCCTAACAAATAACCTAATACGATTAAAAGACTAATTACCCTAATATAATAATAAATATAGAAACCGAACTAAAGTTGGTTTCTATCACATTGAGCGCCATAGTCAGTGATGTCTCTATGTTGATATACATGATTGCCATTGAGCGCCATCTAGTGCGCCACTATCTCTTGTCCGATGTGCTCTATGACTTGCTCTTAATAAGAAAAGTTCTGAATGTGGAGTGGTGTTGCTCATCTCGTTCTTGTATTGTTGGGCTATGGCGGAGCTTTCATTTCTTCCTCTTTATCTTTGGGTCTATACCGTTTATTATCATAAGATTAAAGAAAGCATCAATCTCGTGGCGACTTTTCGTCTGAGCAGACCTAGGGTTAGGATTGGGTGACTGGAAACCAGAACTGGCTAATGGCTTCACAAAAGCCTCCAGTTAATCCGCAAGATTGAATGTCCCTGTTGCATTCTACACTGATTGAGTAATCTGAAAAGCTGGGTGTTGAATTCCAGATAAGATATAAAGTGAGCTAGATCTTGATCAAGTGCATAGCTAGGTCTTCTGATATTACTACTCAGATAGATAACTGTTGCGATTTTGTGTGCGCACCATTTGGAACTACCATTTTACAGATACTAGGATCAATACCCGCGGCTACGCCGCAGGGACAGTATTTGCCGCAAGGAAGAAGTGCTAAATATTAGTTGCATTCCATATCCTGGGAAAGGAAAATGGCTATTCTTGTATACACAATTGACATAAGCACAGTAGTACACCATACTGACTCAGTACCATTGAGAAGCAAAGTAAAGAGAATGCATTTCAAAGAAGACGTGAACACATAGTTCATAATCTTGCATGGTGCATATAGATAAGCATACAACAGTTACCTAACTACGGCAAAATATTTTTCAGCACCCTTACAACATATAAAACAGGAAGAAAAATATCCTACAAATAAGTGGTTGGACATCACAGAAGGCATGTAGAGTGACCTTCTAGGCTTCTACCTCTGCAAATTTGAGGCTTCAAACCAAATATATCCCCCCTCATCCAGCATTTATGTCTGCAGTTTTCAGGTAGGTGCTTTGTGCATCTGTGTTGTCCTGCAGAAACAAATTTGAGGCCGCTACTAATGAGATAGAACTATGAGAAGCTCCGAGTTGGGGATGAAGTGCAACCAACATAACTGCAGCAACAGATAGCAGTCAACACCAACAAAATTTCAATAGAACAACAACATAAATACAGCAGCAGGGAAAGAAAGTGCAGAAGCCGACACAGAATTACGGTAGCAGGAAAAAGAAAGTGCAGCATCAAAAGTAAAATTACAGCAGGAGCTGGAAGAAAGTGCCGTAGCACTGAAAGAAGAAGCTTATTAGTGAGATTCACAGATGAATGGTGGTCCCCTAGCTTGCAGAAATGGATTCTGAGCAAAGTCATCTACTACTAACAGGCAACAAATCTATCTAAAGAATACAAAATCCAAAACCCTCAATGGTTATTCATATATGCCCTTCAGGTAAAGGAATCTTAAAGCAGATTTGTGAGTTATCTGTTGTTTCCAGAAGGTGGTTTACCTGCATAATATTCATGGTTTCCCATTTTACATGTTAGGTTGTGTGGAAGTGTACAAAGTTCCACTGATTATGATTCATAGGCAACTGAAGATCTAAGACAAAGGGAAAGAGAGGGTCCTGTCAACGAAATACACACGAAGATCTAAGACAACCAAACTTTATTTAAGCGAGAGAAAATAGTATATAAAATTAAAAAGTTCCGCATTTCAATTTACAATTTGTTTTGCCCCTGTGATTTGTTTTGGCCAATGCAAATGTGCAAGTAAAGGAGTTCAATCCATAACCTGTTCAAGAAGTCCTACTTATCTTGGAGGCGGTTCAAGAGGTACAAAGAAGACCCATACTATTCTGCTTGCAGCAGTTTCAATGAGCCAAATGATCTCCGAATCTCGATACATGTAACGACTATGCTTTGGACCTTAATGTTCATCTTCAGAAGCACACATTTCTGTAGTTTCAAAAAGGTGACCAGTTTCCTTGATTAAAATCTTACGCTCTTGCTCAAATCAGGAAAAGTCGTTTGAGTCCCTAGGATCGTATTAAAATTACATAAGCAAAAATACTGAGCTCTTGTGATGACACCAACAAAACCCCCATCACACACCAAACCAACGTGACCAATACACGAAGGAAGTTACTTGGAACTTTTTGTATATTCAGAAATGGGACGGAGCAAATCACACAATAGAAATATGTAACAACGAAAAGAATGTGCAAACCCAATCTAAGACCCATAATGTTTCAGTTGATTAAAGAACTTGTCTACCCTTGATGGGTCATCACATTTAACCCAAAGAGTGTACACCGTGGACCATAGCAGGATAGGAGAAAGCCTCATAGTAACCCGCATAAATGGATCAGATGAAACTCGTGAAAACAGCAAAAAAATTATACCTGAACAAAAACAATACAGAACATAGTCCATTAAAGTCGCGACTGATTTCGCGTGAGACCACAGATTCAGAACTCCAAAACTATGCTTCTTTCCTTCTTCTTCTTCTACTCTTCTGATAGAGACCCGCACGGGTAGGGGGGTCGGGTTGGGTTGGCCGACTGGGCCGGGTTGGTTTTGTTTGTCTTATTACTTCTGTGTTAGTTCTGAAACTCATAAATAGGTTTCTGCACATTCATTTACGGTTAAGCAATAACAATATCAAAATCCCTAAATCCCTCTTTTCTTTGTTCTTCCCCAATTCTTCTTCTAATCCCTAATTCTTTCTCAATCCCTAATTCTACTTCACAACCCCAAACCCTACTCATCTCTATCATCTTCATTTAATCCATTCTAGAAAAACAGAAACAACAACAGAAGCAGTGATGGGAGAAGGAACTACCAGAAATTTTAAGCTGAAGCAAGGAGCCAAAAAAATGGTGTTGACCGCTTGCAGATCTTTCTCCTTCTTTACCAAGTCTTCTGCTTCACCACTTCCTCCTTCCAGCATTTGTTCTACCTCTCTCATTGTAAGTCGCTCAGTCCTGATCTGTCTTGTTCTGCAGCATTCTCCAAGACGTCTCCTACCCTGAGTACAATATTTCAGAACATAAAGTTTCTTGCTAGTGAGTGAATTTAACTTATGGTGGTGGCATATGGTATCTATCTTTTTGTGAAAATAACTCCTAAGGGACTGTATAACGCAATCCCAATAGAAATCTGCGAAATGCTTCCAATTGCATAATCGAGGACCGTGTTAAGTGTGCCAACCAGCCCAAACCACCAAGGGAGCCACCAGTCCGGACAATCACCGCTCTGAGTGGGCGAACCTGGTTCGGAGTTTGGACAATAGTAAGAGCCAGCAATCACGGAAGTGTGAATTGTCAAGTGACCTCCGTTGTAGTGTCATTTGACACTCCTGGAGGCAGGGCAACGACAGTTCTTGACTTAAAAAAATGCAGCAGGAAATAGTACCTGTTAGTTTCAGTTCATTCAGCTCTTACCCTTACCAAGTTGCCATCCCTGCTGGCAATGATAATCGACCATTTCATTCGGACTGGATTATCTTGTTATTCAGAGGGTGAGATTAAAGATCCCTTCTAAGTATGAGGATGAATATCACCTAAACTCCATTAGTATGGAAACCTGCAAAATTTTGAAAAAAAGATATCAGATTCAACAAAAATAGAAGAACATCAGTACCTATTCATAGTGATAGAAGTGGTGTTTAGTATCAAAGCTTGTGCTTAACATGGATGCTGTGCAACATGGATGAAGAACACTCAATAAATTAGCCAAGTTTGCAGAAGTAGAAACACCATTTCATAGACATAGTTTTGAACCACGGACTACCATTCCTGTAAGCCTATGTTACAGAAAGCTATGAGGAGCTATCTTCGTGAATCTAGCTCTATCAACCGAAACCCCTTGCTCCGTGCAGCCATGTACCTTCCATCAGGCAGGTTTGTAGAGCTGAAAGACAGGGATAGACATGTATCTTCCACCGGCTATTTGGTTCCATGGACAATAGACTAAATTCACCTCTGAAGTCAGGGGTTGACTTTCTTAAAACCAATAAGCCTGAACCCAGAAGCAGGACAAAGATAAACATTGCCCATCAACCCAATATCAGGAAACCTACAAACACAGTCAAGGCGAATAAGGTGATAGTCACAAAACTTAGAAATAACATTTAGAGTTGCATGGTACAAAAGAACGAAAAACAAACAACCTAAAGATGCAAAGACAATTTGAACTTGCTGGGTAAGGAATCTCTAAGAGGGAAATAAGCACTGGGAATACTGGTGGATTTGCCATGACCGATAATAGACTGAAAGGCTAGGCTGAGATGGAAAAGAGAAGAAAAACTAACCAGAAATAACCCTCTGTATCACATGAAGCTTTACCTCTACAACCAGTGGTGTTGGCCTGCAAAAAAAAAAAACAAAGCAAATGATACATATTTTGGACTCGTTGGCCGGTGAATCCGAAACAAAGATCGAGTAACAGAAGAAGTTGAATGCCAAAACCAACAAAAAAATCTTTCAAACACGATTAAGAAGTAGTTCCTGGCCATTGAAACCGGGACAATCCACACTAACCTCTGTAAGCGGACATGAAGATTTGGGAATGATCAATGGAGAAGGAAGCAACAGTTGGCAATGCTCTGATTTCCCTCCTCCCAATCGACTGCCGCTCCTCTCTCGAAATCCAGATTTGGAAGGTTTGTGATGAAAATCAGACTCTATGGCAGAAAAGGGATGAGAAGAAAAGGGGAAGTCTGACGAAATCAAAGCCGGGGAAGAAATCGACAGGATTGAATTGGATGAGGTCACTCTTCCATGAATCCAAGGGAGTAAGAAGAGGGACGCACAATTGATGGGCTGTGGCGTGTCGAGCAGAAGCGGAGTGGACAGAAAGGTGACCCGTGCTAGCGGATTTCGTGGTAAGGTAGGTGAGTGCAGCAGAGATAGAGAGCAAGTGCAGTACAAATCATAGTCGTTGGCGTGTCTGGAAAAGGTTTCGGTGTGTCTCCGAGCCAAAAAAAGCGGCATGGACTTCCGGAAAGGTGAGGAAATCGGTGAAAGGATGACCGATGATAGGGGCCTGGACCAGCTACAGAGCTCGTACGACCGGTAAGGGGAAGCATGGACGCTTCGCTGGAGCAGTAGAGGCAAAGCCGGGTAGCGTTCCCAGCAGAAAGAGGAGCTCGCTGAGATGAGAACCGGAAACAAAAGGAGGGTAAGTGTAAAAGACAGAAAACGACAAAATAATGTGTACCCACCTTTTATGGTGTACCCACCTTTTATGGTTTAATTAAAGAATAATAATAGCCTCTTGATTTAAGGCTTCGCTGATTGGGAAGAGAGCTGGTTGTGAGGAGGAGAATGAGGACTCCCATTGCACTAAAAGACAGAAAATGAAACAGTAGCACAACACTTGGGCCAATAAAGTGTACTCAGCTTTCATATATAAAAGAATATCTCCACACACAAGATGCACACTCTGGTTCACCCTTATTATTATTCTACTTGAGTTTCGAGTGTTGGTGAGCTAAAATATGCCTCCTTGAACATTTAGGGGACCCTTCAGCTGGACATAAGGATCTCGGAGGATGGTTTGCTAGACGTAGGCAACGATGAAGCGGTCTCGGTGACCTGCTCTGGGTTGACAGTTCTGGTTTTCGAAGCTGTAGCCCTCAGGTCTTTCCTATGGAATGCCGAGAGAGTACCGGTTCTTGAATGGCTGAAAGGTATGTTTTTTTCCCTATCTTTGAACTTTTTGTTATGGTAGCTGTGTAAGAAGTAAAAGAGAAAGGGCCATTTGTATGTTTGCATTAGTAGTCCCCTACAGATCATCCAGTAACAATTGTTGCTCCGGATTCCAGAATCAAGCTACCGTTCTGCTTCCCCTGAAGCCTCAGTTTTGGAAATAAAGGCAGCTGAAGCTAGCTCTGATGTTGTATGAGATATTAGCTTAATCATTCTAGCATTTTGCATTAGCTTTGAAGGAATCCCTGATGCCTGATGGACAGCTGATCAGTCAAGTCAATGGCTTGGTAGGTCATTGTTTAGTTGTAAAAAAATATCTAGTTGAGCAACGGGAACTAGGTTGGTCAGTACTATGTTGTCTCCTGAGTCCTTGCATAAAATAATGCCATGATCCACCGCCTTAATTAGCGGATCCAAAATCAGTACTTTCGACAAACAAAGCTGAACAAGTTGATCAATCTGGTGAATATCTTATTCATTTAGGATGAAGCTGAATTGAACTGTCACATGGCATTGCATCAACTTGAGCATTATTTTGGGCAAGTCAATGCATGGGCATTAGCTAGTGCATCTTCAATTTTCCGCCACCATATGTTCACATTCCGACTCAACTCTTATAACGATATATATACATGTGATCTGAATCATACAACTCCTTTGTGCTTCATTGAATTTCCTCCTCAGCAAATTATCCCGTTCCTTTCTTTGCCTCTGAATAGTTTTCCCTTCTTCCAAATATGGCATTTGTTGTTGCTGAGGCAATCCTCAAGAAGTTGGGTCCCCTGGCTGTTGAACAAGTAGGCCTCCTCTGGGGCCTCGGCCGCGAGGTCTTGAAACTGAAGAGTACGGTTACTTCCATCCAGGCCGTGCTGTTGGATGCCGAAGAGCAATCCGGTCTGAATAATCAAGTTCAAGTTTGGCTCCAAGAACTGAAGCAGGTCCTCTATGATGCTGACGACTTGTTGGACGATTTCAACACCGAGGCTCTGCTGAGGCAACAACAGATGGATGGTAGTGGCAATGCCAATTTGAACGACAAGGTACACCACTTCCTGTTTTCATTTTTCGATTTACCGAATATATATTAGTTCTTCATTATGTACATGAATCATATCTATATAAATTTAGGTATATAAATTAAAATCAACCATAGATACCATACCATACGAAGATATATTCTTCATATACACTGTAGGCTGTAGCAAAATAGAGAATTGAAAGACGAAGAACAAGAGAAAGTAGGCTAAAGGTTCTGTGCTGCAAATTCATCTATCACTCTCTCAAGAAGTTTCTTCTTTTCTTGCCTCTTAATTTTTGTTCTGGCGGGAAGGTTGATACCCGGTATATGTGATACCACCGAACACATTAATGAATTTCTCGATAATTTTTTTTATAATGAACGAACTTATTGATTTTAATTTGATATTATCGAAAAACGATTTATTTTTGAGATTTTGAATTAAGATTGATTTTTGAATGTTTTTCGGGAATTGGAGGTTTGAATATAGACTTCGTTTGCATCATATATATAGGTGATGGATTTGCCATCTAAGGTATGGTTTGCTTGTAGGATTTGGATGATGTATTTGGCACTTAAAACCCAAACATTATGTATTTGTAAAAAAAAAAAAAACATTGTTTGTTGAGGCATTCAAATCCGTGGGTCCACGAATTTGGTCTTTTTTTTAGCTCCAAATCCGTGGACCTCATGTAATTGCAAATACCACATTTCAATTGGTATTTGGTCATGGAAGGCAATGATTTGCGAGGCATATGGTACATAAACCTTTAAATTCATGATCAAAACCAACTAAACAAACAATGTTATCTTTCAAATACAAAATGCAACAAATCCATCATAAATCCAAAGGTATTCAAAACTCAAAACCTTCATTTTCAAAATCCAACAAACAAACGAGTCTCAATCATTATGGATTTGTTCCTAAATCTATTGATTGCTCGACTTTTTTAGGAGAATCAAAATTCGTGGGGTCCTTGAATTTTGCGGGTTTAAAATCGGTGGGCCTCATGGACTTACAAATCTCATAGTTGGAGGTGAGACTTGGGTGGGGAACAAAATTCATGATGTCCATTTACTCTTATACTCCTATCTATTTTCTATATTCCTAGTCTACCCTCATGTCTTCTTCTCGACTTTATTTTTCAATTCCAAGAAAAAAACAGTCTTGTGATTTCCGCCTCCGACCACTACCATACATGCTGTATAATTTCATCGACGATAATTAAAGTTGTGTCGAACTATGATCCATTCGTATATATGTAATCTAACAAGTCCTCAATAGCAGGTAAAGAGGAATTGATTTTTTGTACGCATGAATTTGGATTTATTTAACGAAAAAGTTGAATTGTAACAGAAAAATATTACATTGGTAATTTGTGTTCCATACTCATAAATCTAATCAAGTAAAATCCATGTTCAAATCCAATAAGAAAATAATAGACTTTTTCAAATTCATAATACCAATAAATCCGTTATAAATCTTGGGGTTTCCAAAATTCAAGTTCCGCCAAAAATCTTCATTTTTCAAATTTATGGAGAAAACTACCACCATAATACCAATAAATACATAATAAATCTAGGATTTTCCAAAACCCAATATTTGTCAAAACCCTCATTTTTCAAATCCATGAAACTAGCGAACCCATATTCAAATAAGTAGGGATATAAAATATTTAAGCACTAATACCATTACAAGCTAAAAACACTTTTCATCTCCACACGTGTGGAATCTCTCTGTTATTCAATCTTCTTCAGACAAAAATCTTTCGACCTTTTCAATGCGTCGCCACCCGTTATTCAATCTTCTTCAGACAAAAATCCTCCTGTTTCTACTTTCTACTAATGTGCGTGACCATTTTGGGTTATTGTGACCGTTGCATACAACAATGTGCTTGACTATGCATATTGAGCGAAACTTGTTGAGGTTTAGCTCAGTATGTGCACGGCCGCGCATGCATCTTGATTTCCTAGCATAATATTTAGGTATATAAGTTTTAGAACGCTTTCTTTACGGTAATTTATTAATTTTTTTACAATGTTTTGGTAATTGCCCCGAGAATATCTTGAATGTTGTTAGGGTAATAACACTAGTTCATCGATAATAAGAAGTTAGGATTATATAGACTTCATTTAAGTAGGTTGACTATTTTTTGCAAGTGTAAAATTTTAAAAATGAGTATATTCATCAATTTGATTATCACTATTAAACTATAAATTAATGGAAGAAAAACGTACTAAAAAGAATATTAATTATATTTTTTGTTGTTTGGATCCCGTTTCCGGTTGCTAGTATGGCGGTATCCATAAAATTTTTTGCTTTAAAAAATATTAAAATAATGTAATCTTGTCGAGTATAACAAAAATATAATTTTTACGCAATTGCTTTTGAAATCCAAGTTAAAAAAATGAGATATGATCTATTTAGAATTTGTTAAAGATTGAAAAATTCTCTTCACTAGTGATTGAGAATTCGAGCCAGTTGTCCAAAAATTGATAAGTTCTCTTCTCGCCCTTATAATATGGACCACTAGATCCAACTTATCTTTTGCTTTTCAAATCAAAGGATATGAATGAGTTATGGAGTACTATATAACTATCCATCTTCCATAATAAAAATAAAATAAAAACTCTAATGATATATGGTAGTTGCTATACCCTTCAACCAAATGATCAATTAGATTACTATAATTCCCAAGTGTTATGCCTAATTGAATGATACATTTTTTTTATATATAGACTAACTACAAATGACTCATCGTATTCTCATAGGTGCAACTCCTCTTTTCAAGTTCCAACCATTTGTTCAATGGTCTCTTGATGGCTCATCGGATTAAGGCCATAAGGACCAAACTAGATGAGATTGACGAGAATCGAAAGATGTTCAACCTTCAAACTCGTCTCGAGGAGCCTTTTGCTTTGAACAAGAGCAGACAAACCGACTCTTTCGTCCCTAGTGCATTTGTTGGTAGAGACAAAGATAGTGCGAAGATAATAAGTTTGTTATTATCGACCAATGGCCAGCAGAAAGTTGAAGTTATTCCAATTCTTGGAATAGGGGGCCTTGGAAAAACAGCATTGTCGCAGCAAATTTACAATGATGAGAGAGTGAGCTCTTATTTTCAATTGAAAAGTTGGATCTGTGTTCCAGATAATTTTGACGAAACACTAGTAGTCAAAAGGATTTTGGAGTCTTTGACCGAAGACAAAGTTGGAGATCTTCAATTGCAAACTTTGAAGAGTAAACTGAAGAACAAGATGGATAACAAGAAGTTCTTGTTTGTGTTGGATGATGTATGGGACAATGGTGACTATGAGAGCAACTGGGACAGTTTAATGAGCTTCTTGTGGAATGTCGGCGCAGTGGGGAGTAAAATTATCATAACTACACGTATTAGAAGTGTCGCGAATTTGATGGCGA